ACAGAATCTGCATTTTGGGCTGACACAATATTTTAGTATATGTGCTTGATAATTCCTAGTTAGCAAGTATTGGTCCTGCGCAGCAAGGATAAAACCTTCAGTTTCCGCTTTCAACCCTGCACTACGTAGCCACTGATGGGTACGGGTTTTGTCTACGTCAGCTTGTTTGGTACGGGCAGAGTATTGGCCATAAAGCGGTTTATCGTGCCATCGCTTCTGTAACTGGTCTGTTGCATTCGTCTTAGCTATCTTTTTTAGGTATTTTGCAGTTTCAGCCGGTGTATTGTGCTGTAGTTGCATCTCTACGCCCATTTGGAACTCCATTTTGAATTTGTTGGCTTCCTTCATTACGGAGTAGAGACGCTTACTACTTTCATGTTCCTTGACGCATACCATCATCCAGTCTTCAGTAGTTTCCAAATATCTTTGGAGGCCAATTGTTGTAGTTTTGTAGGACAGTTCTAGTTGAACTAATCCTCTGCCTCCTTCGGATCTGGGCACATACAGACGGTCGACATCAGCTTTGGGATGATGCAAGTGAGTAGCTTTCTCGTTTTGGCATCCAGTCGCTTAATTTCAGCTATGGTCCAGTTAAGGACATTGAAGCTGTATTGAACCACAGGGACAGCCAATGTGTTTATGGCTGATATCCTGGTTTTTGAGTTCAGCTCAGTATTTAGTACCAGACGTACACGTCTGTAGTATTCTTTTTCTTATTTTTTCCTTCATTTGGGGGTGTTGTATGCCATCCCTTCGCTAATTCCTAGGTACTTATAAGCTTCACCATGCTCCAGTTCCCTAATCTTTGTGACAAAAATCTAAATCTATTAAGGGTGTTTCTGTAATTCTACCTTTCTTGAAAAGTTACTTTTGCACATTTATCTAATCCGAAGTCCATACCTATGTCGTCACTGAAGTAATTTACAATATTGAGGGAGGCCTTTCAACTCATTGTCGTCTTTGGCAAAGAGTTTGAGATCATCCATGTAGAGTAGGTGATTGAGTATTTTCTTTATTTATTTTGTAACCATAGCGACTGTTGTTCAGTTCATGTGTAAGAGGGATTAAGGATAAACAAAACAGAAGGGGTGACAGAGAATCTCCTTGAAAGATTCCACGTCGGATACTCAGACGGTTGGATATGGCAGTGCCCCCGGTGTGACTAAGGTATAGTTTTGTGTTCCACATTCCCATGCTGTGTTTGAGGAAATTTAATACCACAGGGGGAAACTTTGTACATTTCAAAGTCTTAAGGATCCAAGAATGTGGAACACTATAAAAGGCTTTACGATAATCAATCCACGCTGCACTTAGGTTCCTGCGTCGTCTCCTGCAATTTTCCAGGATCATTTTATTTATCAGAAGTTGATCCTTGCAGCCATATGAACCTCTTCTGCATCCCTTCTGTTCCAGCGGGAGAGTGCTGTTTGTTTCGAGAAAGGAATAAGTACGGTTCGTCAATACAGACGTAATCAACTTATACGTTGTGGAGAGACATGTTATCGGTCTATAATTTTTTGGGTCGTCTGTTTCAGTTGTTTTTGGTATGAGGTATGTCATACCTTCAGTAATCCATTCCGGGGTTTCATAGGGATTATTTACAAGCGTTGATAATGTTTTTGCAAGAATTTCATGGGTAGATGTGAGATGATACAGCCAGAAATTGGGCAACTTGTCACTTCCTGGGGATTTCCACTTTTGGGATTTCGTTAGAGCTTGCCTAACATCATCTGTGGATATATTTCCCCATTCTTGCAGAGGTGTATCCAGCATTCGTTCTTCTTCACGTCGTATCCACTCTGCATTTGGGTTATACTCCTTTGGGCTGCTCCAGATATTTTCCCAGAATGTCTGTACATTATCAATCGATGGTGGCCTTTCGACATGTATAGGTGTTTTTCCAATTTCCCTGTAAAATTTCTTAAGATCTGTTCGGAATATTATTATTATTATTATCATTATTATTGTTGTTGTTGTTGTTGTTGTTTCTTTTGACTTATGTTGTATATTCATTTCCTTCCGGGTCTTAACCACAGACCTAAGATCAGAAATGCCATCATGACATTTTCTGCTGCCTATTTGGGTGAAAAAACAACAACCTGCAAACACATCCATATTTAAGATACATAAAGCGGCTTTTTGTGAGTTGCGAGTTGCTTTCTGTTTATTTTTATGCATAGTCTGCCAGGAATTTCTTCAATGAGTATACCAAAAACTTTTCCAAACACTTCCTGAACACCAAGTACAACTGGAATTATTGATGTCTTCATGCACCACATTTTTTAAAATCCCACTTCAAGATCCTTGTATTTGCAAGTTTTTGAAGATCTTCAAAGATCTGCAGAAACATTCTGCTTTTGTAATCTTTGATCACTATACCTCGGCGATTAGCTTTGATTCTGGCCATAAAATTGTTACAGATCCTATGTTTATAACAAGATTCCGTGGGGATTTCATACCAATTTCTATCAGTTTCCTTTCCATAAGAGTTGCACACTTTCCAGTGCAGATATTGGCCCACCCTTTCATGGCAACTTTTTATTATTATTATTATTTATTACCGTTTCCTTTGATTTAGGTTGTATACACATTCCGTTCCGATTCCCATACGAGAAACCTAAGGTCAGAAATGTAAAACAAAATCCTACAATGCTACAATGGCTGATCAATGTAGTTTCGTGGAATGAGATCAAATAAATTTTATTTTTTATTATAATCCCGCTTAGAGGTCACACACTATCATCTGTCCCCCAACTTGAATGAATGTAAAACTAAACCCTTATTTTCTGCCTGTAGCAAAAATGGCTGTGAATTGCCTATCACAACTTTGTGCTACTGTTATTAAAAAGTAGGGTTAAATTCCGAATAAATATCGATTTTATTGTAATTGAATATGTGCCTTTTTTAAAATTCTGGCTTTTATCTTTCTATTTATCTATTTATATTTTTATCTTTATTCAATTTGAAATTAGACATTATTTCACCGTCATAAATTCAGACACAACTATAAGGTCCAATTTGCTTACATTGTAAACTGAAGCATAACTTTGGAACCATTCAACTCGATTCCTCTTTAAAACTTAATTCTTTCTCATAAAAAAAAGTCCGAAAGAAATGAATGCCATATTCGAACAAAGCCATGCCAACACCATAAGTAAAATTCATTTTCATACAAAAGTCTGTTGTTTCACTTAACCAAATTTCTAATAAATAAATAAATAAATAAATAAATAATAATAATAATAATAATAATAATTTCATTTGTGGTTGGGCTCTGTGTTTGATAGGAAAAGCCTATGCCTTAAAAAAATACAAAAATTTGTTCCGCGAAGAACAGTTGACGCCCTTCGGTTAATCTAAGTAAAATATGAGAAGTTCATAGGCTGAGGAGTGATGCCAGTGCTGTGAAATATTGAATGCATTGATTAAAACTCTTCTTATTAATAAGTGCATTCTTTCTTTCCAGGTAAATTTACACCTAGTTGTTCAAAGAACACTAGTAACGACTTCTCTTGAAAATGGACAAAATTTGGCATTCTGTTTGCTACGTTAGATGATGATGCTCCAGCTTTTTCAACAGTACAAAAGTGGGCAGCTGAATTTAGGAGATGAAGAAAGAGTCTTGAAGATAATCCAAGGTCTGGACGTACTACAACAATCATTATCGAGGAAATTATAGATCGCGTTCACTACATGATGTGAAATGACAAGTGATTGGCTATGAAACAAATAGCCAATCCTATTAACATATCACGTGAGAGAGTTAAAAATATTATGCACAATGAACTTAGCATGATAAATGTTTCTGTTCTGTGGGTGTCACGTCTTTTGACACCTGATCGAAAGCGCACCAGGCTGATCACATCCAATGCAAATCGAACATTATTTGAGATACATTATTTGATACAGCTGGTTTCCTTGAACGTTTCCTAACCCAGGGATGGTTTCAGTTTTTGAGGATGCAAAAAGGATTGTGTTTATTGACTATCTTCTAAAGGGCCATACCATCAATGGAGAGTACTATGCTAACTTGCCGAGATAGTTTCAAAAGGCTACCAAGATCAAACGGGCAGAAAACTGACGAAAGTGGTCTTGTTTCATCAGGACAATTTTCCCCAGCTCGTAAGTCTTTGATTTCAAAGGCTGCTGTACGTGACTGTGACTTTGAGGTGGTTGATCACCCTCCCTATTCTCTTGATTTGGCCCCATCTGACTATCACCTGTCCCCCAACATGAAAGAACACTTGCCCAACTGACCGTTCTTTACTACGCCTTAGACAAAAGTAAAAACAAATAACAATTTACCCATCGCATCTTGTACTTGAAAAATCAACTTACTATTATCTTTTATATTATTTTAAGTATTTTTATAACAATCCCTGTTTTGTTTGTTTGTTTTTTTGGGGTTTTTTTTTTTTTTCATAAACATGATTCTGTTTCTGAAGCCAAATTATAAGATTGCTTAGAGCGAGATCGGATCTGGAGTATTTTGTTAATACACCATTTCATGGGAGTAAGACAACTATCTGACGTCTCCCTAGCGATAATACCTTCGCTCAACCCACCGTATGACTATAAACAGTGTTTTATAATACTAAACGACTGCAGTTCAAATTACTATAACTACTAAACAATACAATGTTCTACTTCAGAAGCACCTGCTGCTGCTGCTACTTTCAACTATTTCTTATTGATTTCAGCGATTGGGAAATCGAGACAGACAGAGGCGAAGGTGGGAGAGGGAGAAAAAAAAAGAAAAGAACGATGAACTTCAAACGGAAAGAACGTTAGTTGGGGCAGGCAGTGGGGAGAGCAGACCGGTGGGGCTGGTTGTGTCAGGTGGGTTTGGTAAGAGTGGCCAGTGCGGTGGTGAAGAGAAACAAACAGCAAATCTGGTTTATGGATCTTGTCGGTACCTGACTGAGTCATAGTATTATTAAGAAACAATGTATGTATTTTTGTAATGGTGACTCATCAGCTTTCGCTCCAGTCACAAACTTATGCAAAACTTAACTCTCTCTCTCTCTCTCTCTTTCTCTCCCTCCCTTCCCCTTTTCTCTCCCTCTCATTCCGTCTCTCTCTCTCTCTCTCTCTCTCTCTTGCTCGACTGGATTTTCTGTTTCTTCTTCTCTGTTTTTCTCTATCTTTTTCTTTCCCTCTTTCTTGCTTTGCATCCGAGTCATTGTCTCTTTGTTTTCTCCATCTTTCTTTTTTTGTATTTATTTTTTTTCTCTCTCTCTCTCTCTCTCTCTCGTTATCATTGTATCTGTCTATATCTCCTTGACTCTCCCTCTCTCTTTCTATCTGTATGTGTCTATTTCTCTCCTTTCTTTGTACCTGTCCATTTATCTCATTTCTCTCTCTCTTTCTATCTATTTCTCTCCTTTTTTCTCCTTCTACCTGTCTATTTCCACTCGTCTCTCTCTCTCTCTCTTTCTATCGTTGTATCTGTATATATCTATTGGTCTCTCTCTATCTCTCTCTCCTTATATATGTCTATTTGTCTCTTAATATCGCTGTATCTATTTTTCTGTCTCTCTTTCTTTCTTTGTATGTCTATTTCTCTCAGTCTATTTCCGCCTCTCTCAATGTAACTGATTATTCGACACCCTTTCCATTTAGCAGTTTATCTATATGTCCCTTTCCCTTCGGCTCTTTCGCTCTCTTTGTGTGTCTATGTGCATGTGTGTGTGCGCGCGCGTGCGTGTGTGTGTGTGCGTGCGCGTGCGCGCGCGCGATTGAATATTCAGTCCTCTCTGTTTTTCTTTCTCTCTTGGATTGTCTAGACGCAAATAGTACTTTTGTTATTTTTTATGAGTACTAATAATGATACTACTACTACTAATAATAATAATTTACTGCCTGCATATTCGCACAAGTAGTAACTGATTAAGACAGGCGATCAAGTGACAGCAAGTCTCCCAAATACTCCAGCATCTTTTTCATTATCCTAGCTGTTTTCCACAATGTCATAATTTGCTTTTTTTTTTCAAACTCTTTCCCTGATTTCTAGTTCCTTTAGAATTTTTCATGGACCCTTAGGATTGTTTCCAGTACTTCATTAACGACTGGCACGACTGTCATCTTCATGTTCCGCAACTCATTTAATTTTTTGGTAAGTTCAATGCACTTATCAATCTTTTCAACTTTTTTTTTTTTCAGATCTACTCTTTGGAATGTGTGAACCTCAAAATCCACTATTATTTTCCCACTTGTTTTATCTTGACGACTACCAGATCCGGTCTTCTGTCCTGAATTAGGGGATTGGGTGATCATTTTTGAATCTCCAAATCCCAGAGGATTTTACAAGTTTATGTCTGGTCAAAATGTCGGTTCCTCCCCCCACCCAAAAAAAACACCTATTCTTGTATTGGTAGATATACAAATGCGTTACATTCGCTTGACTGTCTCGTTTTATTAATTGGAGATACCAATAGATAAATTACTAACTGGAGACACAAACATGTAAATTACTAAGTGGAGATACCAAAATCAAGCAAGTAAAAAAATATAAATATCTAGGAAGTATTTAAACAAAGGATGGAATATGCAGCACAGAAATCCGAAAGCACAAGTGACTTCCAAAAGCTAAGCAAAGTATTAAGAAACAGGAAAATCTAGATAAGAAAAGAGTGTTGAACTGTTATGTAATATCGGTCCTCCTATATGACAGCAAATAGTGAACAGTCTCCTCACAGATAAAGAAGAGACTTGAGGAGAAAGAAATGTGGTTCTACAGAAGGAAGTTAGAATGCTATGCACTGAACATAAAAGTAATGAGAAAATTGTAGAGAAAATGGAAAGAAAAGAAACATACTTATAATTAGCATTAGAAAGAAACAATTGAAATTTCTAGGGCACATAAGGAGGAAAGAGGACTTGGAAAAATTGATACTTACAGGATATATTGAAACAAGAGGGACAGATGAGAGCACCTGACGACCTTGTGAAAGTGGTTGGCATAAAAGAGATTAGGAGAGATTACGAAGAGACAAAATTTACTAAAAACTACAAAGGACAGGAAATTGTGGAGAGCTATGATCGCCAACGTCTTGAAAGGACAAAGCACGAAGAAGAAGATTTGTTGTTTTCTGCGTTTAGGTCTTGGCTACAATATAGATATTTCTTATGCTCTTTTTGTGTGGAGTAAAGAAGCTCGCTATATGGAATGATTTAATTTCTGTCTTAAGTTTTCCTTTACACTGACATGTCAATTTAGATTTATCTGTCACTCATTTGTTTCCTGAAGTATCCATACAGTTGTTTTCGAATAATTTTCCAATTTCTGTTTGATGCTATCTGCTTCCAGCATGCTTAACCATCTGTAGCCGTCCTTTTCGTTAAGCATTCGATGGCTGTATAGTTCAGTTCCTTTTACAAGCTCTGGTTTCCCCTTATTCATTATCAACATTGCATATTTCTATACCAAATGGCATACGAATATTTCTTTGGAAAAAGGAAAGAGTATCGAACTGCTATATTATATCTATTCTCCTGTCCCATGATTTCCTTTGTGAAGCCCCTTGGAATGAAGTTTTCATACATTCCGTTCACAAATGCGCGTCTGAGGTCACCCCCTGGGTGAAAGCTGGCATCGACGCTTTCATTCCAGCTAGAAAATACCAAGTAAAACCACGTTCATCTCCTTGGTTCTCACCTGCTTGCTCGGGCACTATAGCCCATACGAACAACTTCTTCCGACTGTACTAGAGCGAAATGTCTAATTGCAACAGACGTCTATTTGTCTCTACTCGTAATGAGTGCAAGCGTGTCCTCAAGGAAGCAAAATTACTATTTGCTGATAGAATGAAACAACGTATATCATCTGGCAAGTTCGGTTCTAGAGATTACTGGCGGCTCTGCAAGAGTGTGCAAACAGCATATCCTCAATCCAACAACAGCAAATCTTCAATTTCTCCTTTATTTAATCAATTTGAAGTCCAAACATCTACAGCAGATAATGTTGAAGGCTTTGCTCGTAAATTCTCTTCCAACTCAACACTCAATTCATCTGGAATGCCCTCACCTGACCCCACCCCAGAACTGAGGCTAAAATAAGTGATATGTACATGTCATCTAAATTAGAATCCCTTAAGGTAAGGGAAGGTGACGGGATACTAGCCGTCGTCCTAAAGAAATGTGCTCCCGAGCTGGATCCTGTTCTCTCTAAACTATGCAACTATTGCCTCAGAGATTCCTGTTTTCCAGCTTTTTGAAGTCCTCTTCAGTCGTTCCTGTCTTTAAGAACTCTGGAGAACCTTCTGACCGCACTATCAGGCTCCTACCAATTTTCGGCACAGTCTTCGAGGCTTGAATCAATGTCGAAGTGCTTAAGCATCTTACCTCTCACAAACTACTCACAAACAATATGGATTCCGTTTTGCCCGATCTACCGTTTATGGGCTTACGGCCATAACTGAATTTATATTTCAAGCTCTCGGTAATAATGGCGAATCTCGAACTGTGGCTCTAGATATATTGAAGGTGTTTGACAGGTTTTCGCATGCTGGTCTTCTACGTTAGCTTCAGGGCTACAGTATTACAGGAAGTTTCCTTGATTTAATCCAATCATTCCTATCTAATCGGGTATGAAGGCCGTCCTGAAAGAGCTATCTTCCAGTTTCTTTCCTATTAACGCTGATGTTCTATCCTGGGTGCTACACTGTTTCTGATCTTCGTCAATGATCTTCCCGATGTCATCAGCTCTCAATTAGGCATTAATGGTGATGACACTACCATCTACTCCTGTCTCAAAAGAAAATCCGTCAGATTTAACCTGGTCGATTCTATAACAGGAGCTCCAGTCAGTGGTTAACTGGGACAGGAACTGACTCATAAATTTAATGCGTCCAAAACGAAACTTCTCTCATTTAACCACCATAGAGAAACGTCCCTGCTCCCATCAGCATGGCTGATGCTCCTCTCCGTGGGAGGGTCTCCCTGTGCCTTCTTGGCCTCACGTTTTCAACTGGCTTGAAGTGGAACAACTACACTGAATCAATAGCTGCATCTACTGCAAGGAAAGTTGGTTCACTGTGTCATGACAGAAGTCCATCTTACACATCTACAAATCTACTATTCGTTCTTGCATTAAATACTGTTACTTTATCTTATCTGGTGTCCCGGCTGCTCATCTTGAAGTTCTCGATAAAATCCAAAGAAGCATCTGTAATGTAATCGATCCTGAAATGGCTTCTCGACTTCAAACAATTTCTCAGAGACATGATGTGGTTTCCTCTTGTCTTTCTACAAATAATTTTATGGCTACTGCTCTGACGAGCTTTTTTTCCACTGATACCCGAATACATGAATTTAAGGGTGCTGCTAGATTGGCATCTAGGTCCCACCTGTTTACTATTGAAATAGTTAAATGTAACCGCAACTTCTACTCCAGCAGTTTCTTTCCTCGCACTTCCCAACAGTGGAACTCCCTTCCTCCTCATTTGATTCCCTTCTACAATCTTCAAAAATTTAATTGTAACGTCATATTCTGTTGCCTTGATCCCTGTCCTTTTTTCCTTTCCGAAATCCCCATTACACACATTCTTTTCTCTCACTTTCATTCAAAAGCACATTTCATTCAAAAGCACGCAGGGGGTTACTCTCCGTAACCCTCTGCGTGCTTTTGAATGAAATGCATAAAAACAAATTAAATAAAGCCCTTCGTAAGGTGTGGACTGTACTTGTGAGTATAATTTATTATTATTATTATTATACGATATTTTATTACTTTTCACACACACACACACACACACACACACACACACACACACACACACACACACACACACACACACATATATATATATATATATATATATATATATATATATATACAAACCACCAAACTGTTAATCTCTCCTGTACGCATGTGAGACCTGGGTAGAATGCCGAAACGGCATCCGCAAACTTGAAAAATTCCATCAAATGAAAATTCGTCAAAACCTGCGACACACTAGCAGGACTGCATCACGTATAACGAAGTTCTCCGGTGAGCGCAAAGATGGAGAGCCTAGAAACCATAACGACTCGCTACTGACTTCGATGGGCTGGAAACCTTGGCCGAATGTCTGACATCAGCCTACCCAAACATATCCTCTTCAACGATCAGCTCAAAAACACCTTCCTGGGGACAGAAAGCGATCCAGTCAATTGGAAGACGGAAGCTACAGAAAGAACCAATTGGAGAAGAGCAGTCCCCTTCGAAAACACTAGAAGACAAATAGAAGAGACAAGGAGAGACCCCAAAGAAAAGCCAAAGCTCTCCATCCCCTAAACCTTCCTACCCTGCACATGCAGTGGCTGCAGACGTCTCTTCAGATCCAACATACGACTCATTTTGCACAGAAGGAAATGTCGACGAGCACCACAATAATATATAAACTTGTGATTTAAAACAGTTGAGGACTGATTTTCAGTGTTTATTTATCATGTCAACAGATAAAATCTAACACTGGCTGTTGTGTATTTTCAAGTGTGGCAAGTCTTTAGTAGAACCGAAGAAGAACATTTATGAAGCATATGGAAATGATTCAGTTGGAAGCAGAACCTGTCATGAATGATATGCAAGGTTCTTTCGCAAACTGAATTTCCC